GTTGTCCTTAGCATATGGCTTAACAGCTAATTGGCTTTTGTCTTGAATATGTTTCTTATCTGGAGCTGATGGGAAGGTTTTTGATTGCTTCAAGAGATCAGCAAGACTCAGAGGTCAGTACCCCTGAAAGAGGTATTCTGTTTTTTTTGAGCAAGAAACACGGCAGCTTCATTTTCTTTGTCTCTTTATGCCAGAGGAAGAAGGAAAACACTAGTTGTTACACGAGTGCTGCGGGACATGCTCAAGCATATTTATCTTCGTGGGGATTTTTTCTTTTTTTTTTTTTTCCCTGTAATTTCAGGTAAAAAAAAGGAAAAACAATAACAACAATAGCAACAGTAAATAAATACAAAGAACTTTCAAATTCCTATGTATTTTGGCTAGCTAGCAACTATCCACTGCTCACCAGGATCTCAGTAGATATTATTATTTATATGATATACACATTGTATGTCATCATATATATGTTACATATTATTGTTTAGAAATAAGTTGTAAGGATACTATTTTGAGGTCAGAGAAACTTTCAGTATCAGATCATGGATTTGATCTTGGACTAAATAGCTAGTTGTGGGTTTTCATCTTTAATTATGAATTCTCTCCCCATCACAGAGTTGCTAATGGGTATCTGAAGGTTGTATTTTCAGTATCATTATTCAGAACTCACGTTGCAGTGTACTGAAAGTACATCCTCAAAGTGAGTGTTTCAGCAGGTTTTTATCTCTTAGAGGTAGAGATGTTTTTGGAAGAGCAAGTTTGACCTTAACATAACATCTTTATAGGCATGTTTCATTAAAGAATGTTGGAAGCATCATGCTGATCTGGTGGTGCTTACACCACCACAGAGATGTCTGGAGGAATTTTAGAGCATTTGAATTCATGGTATCAATGTCAATGACCATCTTTCCTAAAATACACATGGCATCAAAACAACTTGTTTTCCCACTTCCTTTAATAAAGTTGTCCCCATGAAAACTGCACGCAGTCAGTTGGATGGCTTTCTGTTCTTATACGAGCATATCTTGGACTTGATTTCTTTTTCAGTAATTTTGATCTGCCATTGATATACTGCCTCTTGGAAGTACAGGTTGCCATGTGGCTGCAACAGCTGCTTCACTATTTTCAGTTGAAGCCTACTGCCTCCTCAGTCTCTGCCAAATTCTGGTAACAATAGCATTTTTAAAACTTTGAAATTATTGCCCCTGATGTTTCAAACCATTATTAATTGTGTTGTGAGTTGCTGGACAAAATCCTTTTTTATATTTCAATTTTCTGAACATTTTTACAAAGGACTGTAAAGCAAGTCTCTTCTACTGAAGTAGATCTCAGTTCACAGTCTGTTCGGATTGCATGTCTTAAATCATAGAATTGTTATGGTTGGAGAAGACCTCTAAAGATCATTTAGTCCAACTGTCTTATTCTCAGTTTCCAAGTAAGTTAATCTACCAATTTCAACTACTGTTCTCTCCTGGTTTTGCCATAGTTTTGGATTATAGAAAACACAACTACGTAATAGGCCTTGCATTTTATTGTTGTTTCTTTAAAATATTATTTATTGATGTGACAGAAGTGATGACAGCGTTCAGAAAAGTAGGTGGTATTATTCAAGATCCATTTAAAAAAAAAACAAAAACAAAAAACCACTAAGATTACTTTATGATATGTGGGAAGACAAATGTACAAAATTGTAACTTGCAGGCTGGTGAAGATCGTTAGATCCTCTGGGACCAAAACATGATACAACAGTGAAGTCCCTAGACTTTACTTACGTTTCACATAGATGTAGGTGTGTACTTGTCATGTAAAATTCAGTAATAGAGAGAAAATCAAAATTCTAGAAAATAAGTGCTGGAAAATATAACTTGGCTGCATTAGTTATTAATTTCCCCTACTTTGCAGAAGCTCTTCTGAAATTCATTTACAATAAATACACTTATTGTCCCCTTTTCAATTACTTTGCTTTTGCTTTCCAGTTATCTGAGGAGTGTAAACCAACAAAACATCATTGATTCAATGTCCACCACAGATAAGATGTCCTACATTTGTCAATGTTGAATACTTTAGCATTAGATCAGCACAGACCAGCTAGGATTATAAACAATTTAGGCAAAGGGAACATGTGTGATTATAATGTTTTATTGATTCATGAAATATTATTAGTAACCATCATAGCCTTAACACTATAAAATCATTTCATGTTTCAAATGAAACAGTTGCATGTTGCATAAATATGTTACTGTTCTGTAGACTATGTGCAATCCTGAAAGTTCATTGTGTACTTAGAATCCAGTGTGACTTGAAGAATAGTGGATATGGATGTGTAAATCATTTCCTATGCTATGTACTAAGATATCGATCCTCTATTCATCCATTTGGTAGAAAGTGCTACCTCCTCCTCCATAGTTCAAAATCCTGCTGCTTCAAGAATGATCGTTTGCATGCTTTGAGATATATAAATGCTTCCCAATCTGAGTATTACAAAAGACAGCTTCATTCACAGTCTCCAAAAGAAAGCCTGCGCAACAAAAGGACATACAGATTGAACTAATCTCTTAATTTCAGTTGTGTGGGGATTCAGGAATGACAGATCATTGTCATATGGACAGAAAAGAGAACTGTTAGTGAAGGGTGAAGCAGTGACTCTCCCTGTAAAATCAGGTGTTCCACCACCCTTTTTTCTAATGTTAGCTCTTTCCTTTTGGGATATGAAAGAACACAGTAGGAAACCAATGTTCCTAAAATCATCTTTATTCTATCCCGTCTGTTTTCCCTGTCTTCCCTCCCCCTCCTTTCATCTCTTTCCGTTCTCCCTCTCCCCAAGCAAATTCTCCTAGTCTGATCATGAGCTAAATCAGTAATTACTGAGGCATCAACAAGTATAGTTAGCAGCTGACAGCACAGGCACTGTGCTGCCACTGTGCTGCACTGTGTGGCCACAGGCTCATTAGGCTCACCCTGCTCCTCTCACTGCTTTCTTTAACTCTGCAGTCTGTTCACGTAGGCACATTAGCAGTTGTCTTCTGTAGCATTGCAGTTATCTAATTATCTTACAGTAGACAAGTGTTCAAGTTTTTATGTGTATGGCAGCCAGCACAAGAGAACCCCAAATGTTGCTCCATGGGGCATATTACCTCTATAAAAGGTCAGTAACAATTCCTGTTGAATTTCCCTTACTGCTGCGCACTCACTATTGAGAAAATGGGAGCTACTTCTGAGCTCTAATACACTTTCTGTTTGTTTGTTCAGGAGTTTTCAACCCAAGTCAGCCTCAGGGTCTGCTAGTCTGAAAATCAGAGTCTTCTCCAATTTTCTTCCCTAGTTTTCTCCCTCCAACGCTTGACAGGAGAGGAAGTGTAATTATTTAAAGTATTTTGGGAAAATATATATCTCACTGTTTCTATGACCCCGTCCTTCCTGTAAGAACTTCTGTGGGAATGTGCAATCTAATCTATTAAATGATTCAAGGAATGTTGGCGGGTTTTGTTGTTGTTTGTTTGTTTTTCTCTTCTTTTATGTGGATGCATTTATTTCTGTTTGCTACTAACATTTTTTTCTTCATATTCTTGTTCATTTTCTTCGAACTGCGTTCAGTCATTCTTCTGCCATTCAAACACTCAGATTGAGAGAAAATTTGTAACAGCTTTTCAGAACTACCATTTAGAAGAAAATGCTTTACACTGTTTTACAAAATAAAAATATGTTGATGGCACTGGCTTTAAGGGGACCCGTTGAGAGCAAAAAATAAAAATCTTTATTAAGATTTTCTATTGTGATTGCTCTATTTAAAAGTTCTTCTTTGTATAATAGTTCATGGTGAAGTTGCTTCTATTTAAAGCACTGAGTTTGATCTTGGCTTTGATCTGTAGCTTTTGATCTTGAAAGAAGGATGTTGTGGCAGTAAAACAAAAAGACTAGGAGAGACTTTTTTTTCCCTCTTGTTACAAAGTTAAAGGGATGGTGTCAAGATTTAGCAGGCAGTAATTGGACCAGCCTTTATTTACTTAACTCTGTTTGTAGAGTCCATCTAATTCTATATGCAGGAGAGTTTGCTCGAGCGCATGTTTTTATAAGCTCTCTTTTTTCACAGGAGCACAGCTTTTCTTTAGAAGCTTTCAGAGAATGGTCATTTATAGCACAGAGTATAAATTAGTTCTAAAATGCTGAGAATAACTTAGTCATACTAGGTGTGACTCAGTCTTGTTTTTAATGCTGAACACCAAACATTAAAAATAACTCAACTTGATTTCTGAGATTTTCCATGGCTGACCTAAGTTATGTATCTCCCATCACACTTAAGATAGAACGTGCTGCTCAAAGAGCACAGAAACATCTGCTGAAGGCCCATGCCTAAATTTAATCACCTGCTCATGCTCTCGTGTTGAATATCAAGTTTTTTTTCGGAGGCCTCAGTGCTACACTTACCGTGCCGTGATAGGAACAAAACCCTCTGAGCTGCTCGTACTGAGCTGCCCTTCAGAATGCAGTGCAGTTACCAGCTGCGTTCTTCGGCGTCAGGAAAGCACCGGGGAAAGCCGTCAGGCATTAACGGTGCCGCACTCCTGACCCAGCCTGCTCGCCCGTCACCGGGTACGCGGTGGTTTTGCGAGGACAGCGTCTTTTTGCTGCGGAGGGCTTTACAGGAGCTGTGCGCCGTGGGGCTCGGGACGAGGGAGAGCCGTCCCGGTGCTCCGGGCTCGGAGGGAGCGCGGGACGCCGGCGGCGACTCTCCAGGCCGGCCGGGGGAGGCGCGAAACTCCCGATGGGGTCACCCCGGAGCCTGCCGGTCCCTACGTCTTTAAGGCAGGCTCCTCCTCTGCGCGGGGTTCCGGGACCGGAGCGGGGGACACCGCGGAGGTGTTCTATTTCCACCGAAGGCAGCGGGACGGCTGGGCTAGGGGTGGCGGCGTTCCTCGGGGAGCGGATCGGCTCGGCACGGCACGGCACGGCACGGCACGGCACGGTTCCGCCTCCGCCTCACCGTGCGCTTTCTTTCCGTACAGCCGCTGCTGGAGGAGGGCGAGACCTGGAAGGAGTGCAAGCTCGTGCAGCAAGTGAGCGCCGAGGTGAGGAGAGCCGTCCGTCCGCTACCCGCTTCGCCCCGCTTCGCCCCGCTTCGCCCCGCTTCGCCCCGCTT